GATTTCAGGGTCATGACTATTTCTCTGCCTGTCCTATGAATAGCTTGTTAGGTGAATAGTTATGGATGCTTGCTACCCCATTTCACATGAGAACAATAAAGCAGGAAGGTGCCTGCTGCAAATCCACTTAGAAACACTCATTTTCAATGGATAAATCACACTGGGCTGAACTAACCAGGAAATGCTTCCAACGCTCGATGGTGTTTGGAAGGAGACCTAGATAAATCTGAAGATCAAGTATACCAGGTAGAAATATGGAGACGAAAGTTGCTACATGGATTTTTCATGCAAGCTGACAGCGGTCCTGGCAAGAAATTGTGCAAAAAAGTAAGTTGTAGCGCTAAACTAGCTCCAAATGGCTTCACATCAAAATAGATATCACTCTCATGATAAGGCCGCCTGTTTATTCCTGTTGGCAAAGCTTCAAAGCAAATCAAAATGCTGATAGGGATGAATTAGCTGTCCTTATATATGTATGTCGACGATGCATTTTCTGCCAACTTTGGTCGCTCTCAACTTACTTGCAGAGTTCACATAGCACTTTTAGCCTCCGTACTTATCACCAGCAATCTTGCTGTATCGATTTACCCAGGCCACCATTCAAAATCCATGAGACGTTGCACACTTTCCCTGGTAAATCATTGTGGAGCTTCAATTTGGACAACTTTTCTCTTTAACGTTAGCAATTCTCGCGCATAACCCCAGCAAAATGCCATAGCGATATCGAACAGCGAGCAGCGAAAAAAGAAAAAAGACAAACAGTATAGTGATAGCGAAATTCTGCATAAACCTAAATAACTCTAGGCGTGCGCTATACGAGCGATTTCAAAAGCATCTACGATTCGCTAGCCGAAACGTGCACCCCCCGGTTTCACTAAATGAAACTGACCATTACATTCGATGTTACCAATCAAATATGTATATCAGTAATTTGTAGTCATTGAAAGCAAACGACAACATTCGAGGCTAAGCCACTGCGAACCGGGTTCTGTGGATCGAAATTCGGCGAGATCCCTTCCCCTTTCAGACGATACTTGAGCTCGTTCGTTTCTCGTCGCACAACTCGTCCATCCTTTTCTTCTGGATCCACGTAGTGCGGCAATGTGACGCCTCCACTCTTTAAATATAAACTGCGTTTCTGAATTGTTTTAATGAAATCGCAACGGCAATTCTTTCCATATTAGAGCCAATTGACTTGTAAAAGAGAAAATCACGTTTAAATTACGAATCAACATGAGTTCTTGATAAATCTGGTTAGATCCAACCACGGAGATGCGAAATGTCAAACGGGAAAACGTATGACACTTATGTTAGCCCTCGTCAGGATGATCACCTAACATCCTAGGCTGTTTGATTTCGTTCCTGACATGTTCAAATCCATCCTACACTACTAGTATACCTAAGTGTGAAAATTTTCTTTACGGCACTTCAAAGTTTAGTTTAAAACTGAAGTAGCTTTTTTGAACTAAGAAAAAAGAAAAGTTAGTCAAAGAGTTGAATACACAACAACCACCGAACAACCAGTTAAAGCATTATGGCAGTGGTGAAATTTGAGGACATCGTGTCTACGAAAAGTGCTAGCGTGACTTTAGTTTCCTGTGCAGTTAACAAAAACACTGTAATGAAGGCCCAAAATAGGTGAGCAAGAAAAAAGAAGTTAATGATACTTCCACCGGAGAAAAAAAGAGATCAACGAATAAAATATGAATATTGAAGAACAAATAAATCAGGGTGGGACCTGGTACAACAAAACAGTGAGAAAAGACACGTCAACGCCATTGGCTTAAACTCTTGTGCTTGATTCGTCATCAAACCTTTTCCCCTTCGAAGCGTAATCTTACGTCACCATTGGCTGAAGTAGCCATACTCAAAACCCTTTACAATCTACTATAGTAAAACCGGAGAAAGTCCAGGCTTTTGTTGAAAGAGGAAAAAAACTGTCCAATTAGATCATCACTACTTCCACACCAACCTAGTCCTGGGTGGGGACCACAGAAAAACCTAACAAGCCCAATTTAAGATACGACCTGGACCTAATCAACTTATTAGATGAGTAAGACAAACCAATCGATTGTTCCTGGAAACATATCGAGTTTGTCAATAGTCAGGAAGCTACTTCTAGTGCCCTGCAAACACATGCGCCCCCAATGACTTCACAGAGCGTCAAGTGAAGAGCGCTGTGCAAACAGTAGAGCAAGAATTACGAAATGAAACCTCTTTGAAACAGCAAGTAATCAAATATCAAAAAAATATTGGAGAGATCTGAAAACCCGAAAACTGAAAAGAAACGCTGGCACCAACCTCGACTGGTATAACTTGGATCTGATTTTTCTCATCTTCCGAACTACTGGAAGAATCACTTGAGTCCGTTTCCTTCTTGCCTTTCTTCTGCTTCTTGGGTTTCTGCGATGAACTCTGCAACACGAGAATTGAGTAAGCGATGAGAATTCGCTGGAAAGACACAACTGATACAAAAGAAAACGGCTTTTACCATAAACGAATAGAACACACAGTTTCTGCAAGCTGCACTTCTTAAAAGAAGAAACGAAAGGAAAGAAAATAGGTCAAAGCCGTTTCCTCACTGTATCAATCACACTGACACTAACGCCCATACATCAATTAGGGTCATGTGCCAGAAGAAAAACACCACAGCACAATGTTCTAAGCTAGCAACAAAGGTGAAGATGAAGCTTGCCTTCACGCTGAACAAAACTCATTCAACTAACTGGTTTATTGTGAGCGATGCTAGCAAAGTATTAGAGGGTAACAACAGCACGAACACAATAATGAACTGAAATGCGTACAAAAGCAAGCAGCTACAGCGCAGTGAAACACAGAAACGTGCGGATGACCCTAATTGTGGGCAAAAAACAAATAGCGGACCTTGAAACCGAGTCGACTGAAGAACGAACGACTAGACGACGGCATTGGTGGTGTAACAGAGAAGATCATCCCAGCTTCATCCTCAGAGAGATCGCGCAACCCCGCCCCTGCCAAGCAAAACACAGGTTCAAGTTGGACCTCAGCACGCCGATCTACGCGAACTTCCACCCATTCATCTCCTTGTAATGTCCTTCCTTCCAATCGACCTGTATGGCTACTCGCAAGAGCTACAACTCGTTCAGAATCTCCAGTTGGGTCATGCTGATGAAGACCTTTTTCTGAAGATGACATTGTAGCTTCTCCCTGGACAGTGTGCCTGTGATCTGGAAAACGAGTCCTTCTCCAAGAAGGAGAGCGGTTCTCACCAGCAGTGACGCTTGAAGCACTAATATCTTTTTCATATGCGCTCTCCCCACTTTTAACTACACCTGCTGCCTGTCCATAACGATAACTCTGTTCGCCGTCTCCAAATAGAGGGAGCGATGGCTCGGACTGGCGATTAGTAGACCGAGAGGGGGTTTCATACGATGTAGATGCTGTACCATAAGCCGCAGGTCCAAACTGATTATTTTCAACAACTTCATCGGCATTATCACGTCGCCACCTTCCAAACAAATATGTGCGAGAGCTAGTAGATTTGGAACCACTGGAAATAACCTTTCGATCATCTTCATTCGCAAAAGCATTTGACGGGACGTCCTTCGCGTCATCATGAAGATCAACTCCTTCTTGTGGCCCATCATATCTGCTACTACTAGAATATTCGGTTACCGTTCGCACATCCTCATTTTTCCGATTTCCTGTTTTCCAAAACGCAAGTAATCCAGAGTTCTGGCTCTTTGCTGACTTTGACAAATCTGAAACGTCGCTCGTAGTGCTATGTGACGCTGATTCTGTCACATTCCCTTTTTCAGATTGTTCTTCAACAGATAGTGACGGCACATCCTTCACAGGAGTACCTTTCAAATGCAGAACAGCCTTCTTTCCCGTGCCATGCTCGATTTCAGTTGTGGCAACAGTAGGAGTTTTAGCTCCCTTGGATACATCCCATGACTGCCCGTGATGGTACACTTGTGCGTGATCCCGCAGGGGTGCGGTCGGCAAGTCAGAATGACGTGTAGTGGATTCAAGAGGACCTTTATATGACGTAGACGCTATGCCATACGTTTCAGGTCGGACACGGTCCTTCTCAACAACCTCTTCGTCACCATCATGACGCCATCTTCCAAAGACATATGCGCGCTGTTGAGCGGGTTCCGAAGTGGTGGTCGAAGCTGGTTTATAGTCCACATGAGCAGGTGCCTTGAACGGAATCTGCTCGATATCTTTCTGACGATTCACATCGTCTAATGGACCAGTATATTTGCCAGGGTGAGGATATTCAGAACCCTCCTGCGAGTCCCCACGATGTTTACGGCCACCCGATTTCCAGAAAGAGAACAGTCCAGAAGATTCATGGTCTTTCCTTGCTTTAGAACTGTCTGT